AGTTAATTATGCTGCACCTTTTTGGGTAATCATGGATCAAATTCATGCAAATATATGGAATTTAGAAAAGCCCACATGACTTGCAGGATTAAAATAGTACCCATCTGGTCTATCCAGCCCACAACAGTGGTCCTTAGGTTACTTCTTGGTCACAATGGTGGTCCCTGGGTCACAGTTAGCTGAAAACCCCTGATCTAATTGATGTAGTTAAATTAGAAAGCCTGCTGTTTGGCTGTACATGTGTTTGAATATATTGTTCCTTTTACCCGTGTTACTCAACCAGGTGCAGGTTTATTACCTGTGTGTAACAGTTGTACTGTGAGAATGTGATGAAGGCTAGATGGCCGAAAACGTTCCGTCTTCTTGCAGAGTACAGTGATTTCTTGCCATTAGATGTGATCCAAATGTACAATTATGAGATGTGGTGGTTACAGTGTTTTGCTGCCTAATACTGAGACTCACATCAGAGGACAGACTTGCTTTATCATACCTTCTGTTCTGCATTGGGATGCTCCTGTTTACACCTGACCCCAATGCATCAGCCAACAAAGGGTTGTGCTGTTTTTCTACAAGAATGCCTGAAAGTTACTATGTTCATATGGCTGTTGATTTTCTGAATCAAACTGCATGGTGACACTTGTAACAAAGTAGATTTTCTTTGACCAGCTGTGCCAGCTTCCTGTGGCCAGCAGCTGGTGATCTTTGATGCTCAAGATGCCAGGTTCAGGTGCATCAAACTGAGGCCCAGGCAGGCTGGCTGTGTAGTGTGTGGAGAGAACCCCAGTATAACTCATCTGGCAGACTATGAGAGCTTCTGTGGGTCCGCTGCCACAGATAAGGTTGGTCATAAGAGGCGAAACAGATGGGCTACTCACCTCAGATTAAGTGGTCATACACATTTTCACAGGAATGTTTCTTTTTGAAGTGACGGCGTTTCTTACTGGATGTTGCCATTAAATTTGCCACTTAGAAAGTACATGTAATTGTTCCCTAATGGTAGGACAATTCTTTTATAGCCTGATGTTCTGTGTGTTTCAGTGCCGCAAACTCAACCTCCTCTCCAGAGATCAGAGGATCACAGTACAGGTAAGGGAATATACTCTGTACTCCATTACCAATTTACACCTCATTGACCACTGCGTGACTCCTTGTATTTAGTGCTGTTTATTATTATTACTCACAATTTTCTCAGTTTTCATGTGCATTCGTAACCTGATTACATCTCAGCATAGACCCAGCCCCAAATGGGAAATGACTTAAAATGTGCCTGTAGGTTTTCTATGGGAAAGAATAACATGTTCTGTTTGGCCCTGAGAGCAGTGGTCATGGGTTGCATCTGTTTATATTTCTGCAGAATTGGTGCTTTCAAACCTGCTGAGTCATTAAGCACAGAGATGTGGATAATGATTGATTGGGCTGTAATGGAGACTGTACAAGAGGCTCCGTTTAGGAACAGTTTTACTTCCTGCAATTTAAAGAAAACCACTTAAAATGTTCATATTACTCCACAAATACAAACATTTGCTGAGTAATTTTGGTTTCTTTCTTAAAGTGTAGATATAAATCAATGTCTTTTGCCCCCCAAAAAAGCCACACCTTTCTCTTTAATTATTGGATTGGTAGTACATGTGCATTTATGGCAATTTTACTGCAATTCCAGGATTATAAATCAGTCATGGACAGCACAGAGCCCCATCTATTGTTGGATGTGCGCCCTCCTGTGGAGGTGGATATATGCCACTTACCCTGCTCTGTCAGTATCCTTTTTGGAGGATCGGACTCACTGTGTCATAAAACTCTCCCTTTATGCATGGTTCTCCCTTTTCCCATTTCTGTGTGATTATGCTTCTTATTGCGCTCCCAGACATTCCACTCTCAAGTTTAGAGGAGAGGAAGATTGAACATTTACAATTGCTTCAGGAGAGAATCAGGCAGGTGAAACAGCAGATGGCAGGCGACTGCCTGCCTCCAGGTAACATATCACAGCACCGTGTAGGGCGTGTGCACGCTGTTTGAAATAAATGGTAGAGCCACTGCATATTCACAGTCTACACACTGCTTGACCAGAGACTTACTTCACCTTGTAACAGGTTGTAATGGGGTTGCTAGGTGACCCCTTTTCCAAAACAAGTACCGTCAACCTGAGCAGCTGGCCTGCTTTAGAGAAATTAATATTCAAACAGCTAATTTGGTGATGCTCTTGATATTTACTGTGTTGCCAGTGTACTAAATTTAGCTCTCTTTATACAGCCTTAGCCCTTTATTGTGTATTAATTTGTTATACACTCAAATCTTTATGATTTGAAATGTTTTATTTGTTTATACTTTTGCCACAACAATTACTTCTGCCCCTTTTTTCAATATTGTAAACACAAAACATAGTTATGGTCTAATAGATTCAGGTTAGTTTAATCTGTAATATAATGCAAATTTAGGTTACAAGATCCATATTTCACCATATTACTGTCTGTCTTCTCTTTGTGGTTTTCTCCAGTGTATGTGATCTGTAAGATGGGTAACGACTCACAGAAGGCGGTGCAGGTTCTGGAGAATCTCAGTGGATCTGAAGTGGACAGTATCATGGTGAAAGACATCAGTGGAGGCCTCATGGCCTGGGCAAAGACAATAGACCCCACATTTCCACAGTATTAATGCATTTTAAAGGCTCTTCTGATAATAAACCGTATTCTGTTTGCCTTCTTTGTTGACTTTTGGTTGACATTTTTTTCACATTTGGATGTATACTGAACATATTGCATGTAGGTAAGTTACTGATCTGCAAAATGGCATAAACCAAGTGTAACAATGGAGCAGTTCCCTAAATTTGTTGTGTAATCTACTGTGTATCAATTCATCAAAAAAATGAGCTGGCAGTCAGATAACACGTAAGCATCCTTGCCAAATCATGTCCCTCTTCCTGTTTTTTCCCCCTGTCAATTTTTAAGGCTGAATTAATTGAATAGATAGCTAATAAATTACACCTATACTTTTTTTATATCAGTCCTTAAGCAGATACAATGACCCACACATCCTGATTTTCCTTAAACCTCTGTTTAAAGGTTTATAGATTGAAAGACAACTCTGAAGAGACTGAAAACTATCAGAAAACTCAGTTATGCTTTGTTGATTTGTTAAAGCAAATAAATGCATTTCTCATTGGGCATATAGATAGGTTACCCCTTCAAAGACCCCTGAGGAAACCAGTGCGTGTGTTATTAATACATCTATGGTAACTGATCCGGCTCGTGTAGAATAGTTTTTTTTTTCACGGCCAAGTTGAAATAACGGAAAGGAAAGAGACATGCGCATTGGTTTGCGCTCCATCAGAGGCGCCATTGCTTCACAGGGACTGTAGTTCGAGTTTTCCTCCCCACACATGGAAAGTCAGTTATGCGGAGACAATAAAAAGACTCCAAGCCCCAGCGACAGGTCTCTGCTCCTTTTCTCGGCAAGCAGGGGGAGTAGTCACAGCTGGACGGATAATAAGATGCGCATGAATTTACAATCTGGAATAAAAGATAAGAGAAAATAAATGGACGGCGCGGTCAGTCTCAGCGCGGATGTACTATGTAAAACTAAAGTTAGTGTTTGTTCTGTGTAGGCTACGACGCTGCGCTTTTGTGTGTGACTTCCATAAAGCGCAGAATAGTAAACTTCAGGCTCCGCTTTCCTCACTTGATGGAGTTAGAAAGTTTCTTTAGTTCACTCACAATGGGAAGAAAAGCGCTCTTAGCTGACTGTGAAGGTAAAGTATCGTTTCACAAAGATTTACTTCGACGTTTGGGTGTGAACTGGCTTTACATGAGCAGATTAACCGCTACAAAGTGTCCTCTGAATGTGCAAATTCAGGGCTTGTATAACTTGTTTTGCTGGCGTTCTCGACTGGGGTTGTGTTCTGCCAGCAAGCCAATCGAAAGTGGGAGGGGTGCAGATGTTCAAAAGCCTTGATTCCAGATGTTTGTGGAGGTTGAATTAAACACAAATGATAAGCTTGATCAACTTTTACTTTAACGCAATTATTTTATTCTTTTGCACATGAACATAAAGGTTTGGTGTAATAGGTTAGTTAAGTTTAACAAAGTAAAAAAAGTTCGTTAATGTAATAATGTAATGTTAAAACTAGTGGTATTATACATAAAGCTTTCAGTTGTGGCTCTTTTAGCAAGGTCCATAAACAAAAAGGCAGTATGAGTTAGCTTAAAGCTAACCCTGGGGAGTATCCTTCACACAACTAAAGTGCCAGGCAACAGTAACACAACACAATGATAGTCTAAGAGAAATAAATGTTTTAAGAAGCAATTCTAGTAAAGGCGAAGTTAATGAAGAATTTGGGTTCTTCGTTTTAAAGAAGGATGATCTGCTGATACGATTTTACTTGGTGAGGAAATACATTTTGATCAGGCTACATTGTGGTTTGAGAAGCTATAGGATACATTTTTCTAAATAAGCCTAGGTTGAACCTAAAAGTCTCCACAAGACTAGAAGCTGATTCATGTAGCTACAGCTGGGGTGCTTTACCCACAGGACAGTAGAACGAAAGCCTCTAATGTGCAGCAGTCTTTTAGTTTCTCAACTGTATGTGCAAACGTTTTGTATTCTAAAAAAGCACCTTGTGTGTCTGTCTGTTTGTGTGTATACTTGTGGTGACAGGCTTCCTGTGGTCCAAGTGGAACACTGACTTCAGTAAGGAGAAGGAACACCACTCCAGGATATGAAGTTTGTTGTAGTCATTTTGCTGCAGAGATCTGCGGATTGTTCAGAGACCACCTCTCCATTACCTGCCCATCTAGAATATGAGTGAGCGGTGTGTAGGCTCTGGTGGGTGGTTAGGTTATTACACTCTTATTTTTTGACAACAATGTCATTTTCATAAAACCATACAGTGCCGAGTCGCTTTGACTGATGAGGACCAAAGATTCCCCCTACCGTGAGTCTGTCCACCCAGATCCAGCTGTGATTTGGTCTATCACCCCTTACTGAATCCTCCACCATTCAGCATTTCGAGTTGCCATTGGAAGAAACCCAATGTCTGCCTCCCCTCCCCCATCCTTACCTCGAACTTACCTTCAGTCTCTTCATCTTCTGTCCGCCCTGTCCCCTTCCCCATCGCCAAGCCCGCCTGGACCGCTTTATACCCGGCTGTCCAACGGCAGTCACAGCGGCCCCAGCCCCACCAACTCCCGCAGCTCCTTCCATGGGGTGTCCTTCCTGCTACAGATCGGACTCACCAGAGAAACGGTGAACCTGGAAGCCAGTGACCTGTCGCTGTCTGCTGTCAAGGACCTGGTGTGCTCCATAGTGGACCAGAAGGTAAGGATCTCATCTCATTTTGAATGATTCACAGGCTGTCTTCAGTTAGGCTTTACAAGACATGCAAATTCTCTAATACTGTATCCTCTGAAATGGCCACTACAGTTATCTTATTTTCAAACTTTAGCAGTAATACTGAAGGCAGTAGAGTGCTAACAGTGGTGCGCCAACATGTGTTCTGCCATATTCATCTGTTTAGATTTTGTTTCCAAAGCAGACATCTGGGCCTCGTGCCCCAAAATGAGTCAAACACCGCAGGAGCATGCACACAACAGCAGTGATTCTCCAACAGTTGCAGGACACAGTCTAGTAGCAGTAGTTATTTACTCTGTGGTGTAATGTTACCAGACTTGACATGATGCAAGTGCACGCTTGCGAGAACATATGATACACGTACATATACAGAACTATTCAGTAGCTTTTTCTCTCCCTATTTTATTTTCCATGACCTTGGTAGTGTGTTGTAATGACACTGGAGTGCAGCCTCAGCAGAAGAAGGGGCTTTAAACACAAGTGTAGACAACAACTCTTGCCGTCTCATACTTGGATGTGTGAGAATATCCTAAGTGCAAATCGGTGGTGTCGGCTTTAATTCACCTGTTCTTGTTCATTTGTGTTCGAAGTGGACAGGAAGTCCTGATCATGGTCTGTGTCTGAGGTTAAAACAGGTTCGCTTTTGTTTCTTATTTGAAGTAGTCATGTGATAATAAGAACTGTAAAGCAACAGCACCACAGGTGTTAGGCCTTTTATTTGAAGTGCTACTCTCTGTCTGAAAAATATGTTCATTTCACTACTACAAATACCAGATAAGATCAAAAACGTTTATCACGTAAACTGGAGCATCAAATACCAGATAAGATCAAAAACGTTTTATCACGTAAACTAGCAGTACATTTGCACAATAATACATGTTGTACATTTAAAATGAAGGTTAATATACTTTTCTAAATAGACAATATTTCTAAGTATATGTAAATGCTGCAGCGTTCTTACACAGTTAATGTTTTCTGTGAGCTCATTCTGGCTGTGTGGGATTAATGGTGTGCAAAGCCTGCTGGAATAATGAAATTGCTCCTGTGTGCATTGCTGTTTTTAGCCTTTTGTGAATAATGTTGATTACTCCATTTCTGTCTGTAATGATCATTTACTGAATAAAAAGAGGGTCACTGGTCAATGCACTTTCATCAGCCTCTAGCTTCTGAACATTTAGGTAGGTCAATGCTGCATTTGTGATAATAGACATAAGAAAAAGTGAATGAAGGACAGACAAAAGAAGGACACAAATGTGCTGCATGACAAGTGAAAGATAGTGAAGAGGCTATCTGTCCTTTGGTTCCACATTGTCCAAGTTGAAATTCCGGAGGAGCAGGGTAATGTTGTTATTCTTTATGAGGTCTGCTGATTCTCACTAGCTAGTTATGAACAGTTCTGGTCTGCAGAGCAGAAAATCTCATCACTGCACATATTTACATGGATCCTGTAACATATTGGCATAGCTGCAAGAATTTGTAACAGGAAACGAGTGGGAAATACCATGCTTTGAAGACTACTCTTATAGAAAATCAGTGCAGTGCATTTATGGTGAGTGGGTGCTGATAATCTATCAAGGCCTGATCAAGATAATTACAGTGTATCACTTAATTTCACATGCATTTTCCTAAAGATACAATAGAGTCTAATAAAATATGCCAGGAAAAGATCTAATTTCTGGCCAACACTCATGGGAACTTTTAAAAGGCTGTATATATAGTAAAAATCTGAGGATACCCTACATCATTTTGCTCATAATATACTGCATGTCATAACAGAATATACAACCTGTTCATCCGCACTATCGTGCTTCTATTAAACACTGCCAAATGCAGTGTACTGCTTCAACTATTTCATGAAATCCAGCCATATGGCTTTGATAGCAATGGAAAATATGACTGCAGGCCTTCTGCGCTCTCAAGTACATCCCTGCCTCACTTCTTGTACTAAAATATGCATGACAGTGGTGAGCCTTCTACAAAGTCCACTCATCCTGGCCAACTTTTCCAGCTGAGGATCTCTGACCCACGCTTAGCTGCTGATGGTCATCCAAGGATGTCTGCAGTCAGCAGAACCTCAGGTGTCTGTCAGCAGAGGCGAGACAGGAAAAAGGCTTTAGTTTTCATGTGGTAATACCTGCACGGAGATAGAGTCTGGATGGAAACGCATTCCCCCCCCCTTCGTGCTGCTGTTTCCTCCGCTGAGAGCTGGCCTGCTTCACTAAGTGACTCACCACTCAGCCATGCAACAAACATGGGTGCTTATCCCAACGTAAATCTGTCCATTCAGTGGTGAGATTTTTGCTGTGTCAGCTGTTGTGGACTTTCAGAGTGGAGATTTAGTTGTATGTAAACCGTAATATTAGCCATGCCGATATCTTGGTAGCCTTCAACCTTGTATTACAGTGGCTGGCAGTGCCCGCAGAGTGAGAACAGCAGGCCAGATGCACTTTTGTCTGTAGTTCTGTTCATGGCACCCCAGCGTGCTTTCAGACCTGCTCTTTGTCTCTGTTTTTGCTTTTTTCCCAGCATGCAGCTGAACTACCTCAACTCCTAACCTTCACTGAGCTACTGAATTATTATATAAATTGGATTTATATTCAGTGGTGGGACCAGTAGTCCCACTATGCAGTAGATAATGACAGTGTACATTTGGATTTATAGCGTCAGGTTTTAGCAGCTAGTAACACTCCCGCAGTGCTGGGAAAAGTTTGTCATGATCAGGTCATATCATGGTTTTATTAGCCTAGATTGCCCACAGTAACAGCATTTGCATTTGTTCACCGACTTTGTGAGCCACTGGGTTACCACGTAATTGGAGTTACACCAAGGTAACTTGTAATCAGCCGTGCAACAGCTACATTTATGTTCACTGATTCATACAGTGCAGTGACTGTAGTGAATGGAAGGTCTGCACTGTAGAGGCTTTTCTAGAAGTGTGTGTGGCATCCATCCATACTGACCAATCACAGTTCTCACAGTCTTCACATAGTATATCTGTCACCGCTGTAGTCCTAATGTGTAGTTAGATTTTTAAAAAGGCACTCGTCACTTATGGTATAGTTTAGAGCATCGGTACAGTGAGCTGTAAATCCAACTGAAGACTTGTACCTTTCATGGCAGAGAATACAAAACCTTACTTTTATTCCCTGTATCTGCAGTCTCATTCTTTATGTTTCTTCTCAGAGCTTGTGACTATAGCTTAAGGACAGAAAGTTGGTTTTCTGGTGAGTGAATGCTTTACGTTGCTGCACTGTTGCTGTCCTTAGTACATTTTAGTGCTCTTCTTTGGAGCCTGTTCCTTCACTGGCTTGAGATGTGTGATACCTTATAATGTACTAGACAGCAACATCATGACAGACTAGCTCATGTCCACTTTTCAGTCAACCTGCTTGTTCCTTGCAGAGAAATCTGTTTACAAACCATGGATAGAAGCATATATGCCACAGCAGATGCCCTCTGGATGTGGGATGCAGTTGTAAAATATCCAGATCTTTTAATGTGATATATATACTGTGCATAATCTCTCATGGCCTCAAGGATGACATTTCATATTTCTTTCCTGAAACCCTTTTGAATTAGTCTCATAGTTTGACAGGGAGTCATGCAGCCAGTTATAATGGCTGTGTATTGTATAGATTTTGTACGGTTTGTTCATCTTCCTGCTAAAGACTTAACCACATGACTTGGCCCGAGTCCACAGAATAGATCTGCTTTCTCTCTGTTCCCTGGGCTGATCTGAAGTTGGTTTTGATAGTAGTGGTTTGGACCAGATTCACCAATTTTGTGGTTAGGTGAACCTTAACTAGGGGCAACCTGATCCTGATAGATTCAGTCTCAGTTTGTTAGAGCAGCTATTATGGTTACTGCTCCTGCAATCTACTGAATACTTTAAAATATGACTGTTATAGTGTCAGCACTCGGCACAAGGGTATCATTCAAAGCAAGGCTCCTTGAGGACTCAGAGAAAGGACGAAGGGAGCCAGCCAGCGGGTGGTGGAGACCCTCCCAGTTGGGTACCATCCAACCCAGATCTAACCCACGATGGACCATTGACAGAAACTCCAAGTTGGGACAGCCTTGTTTCACCAGTCAAGTCCTGACTCCTCTATCTGGATTACGGGGCTTGATGAATGGTGTGAGAAAAACATCCATAGCTTCCACTTGTTGAGAGCTTCCTGTTTGGTGTCGCCCAAGTTCTCTCGTGCAGCCAGCGAGGGAGCAGTGGTGGGACAAAAGTTCACGACTCCCTGAGAATGACTCCTAGTTAGCCAGCTGGTTAACTTGCACAGCCAACCGGCTACAGCACATTCCTCTTCACCCAGGCATTTTTTGAGGATGATGTGATGTTGCTTGTGATGGGTGGGATTAGACTGCAAGGAAACTGAAATATTTTAAGTTAAATGCTGGCTTTGGTAGCACTGAACATCTCACAAATGTCATGAAAGCTGTAATGCCAGTTGTGTGATCAGTTTCAGTCATTATGGGGCTGGATTTAATATCCTACAAAGGTAAAACTGAATTTTCAGTGGATGTGCTTATTGGTGAATGTTGGCAGCAAACATGTTTGATAAAAATGGAAAATGTACAATGTTCTTGCTATCAAAGTGGACAAAGCTTAGTAGGAGGAAGGAAATTTGAAGTTCTAATGAAAAAAGAATCAAACCTTTACCTCATTTGTTAGTTTTATGAATAATTTTAGCACTAGTCCATAGGATGTTGCTGCATTTTCATAACAGCTGGAAATGCTGTGAAAAGCAGCTGCCTCAACCACAATTTTCCCTACTGGTTTTGTCAGTGCTGTAACTCTCAGTCTCTGGTTGAGGGCCGTACAGCTGCCTCTGTAATTAGTGAGACAAAGGCCTTTTTGAGTCAGCAACACGCTACGTTGGACAACTTACTCTAAAATGACAGAGTATTAGAAAAACAGAAGGGTTTGGATTGTTCTAAACCTTTTAGTAATACATGTT